TTTTTTTATTGTTATTCTTGCTTGTTTGCTTATACCTTTCAGCCACCAAGGTTTAGCTTTTATGATGCTGCAAAACCGATGTTTACTTCAAGAAGAAACTTGCCACCCTCAAAGATTGACCAGAGCAAGGTCAGTAGTATTCTGCAGTCGTCTAAATCTCTATTATAAAATCATAGACTCTAACAAAAACCTTCATTCCTTTTTAACGAAATATGCTGTATTTGGCCCCAAAATAACACAGCATTTGGCAATTGGAGAAAAGAAACCAGATATTAACAACGGCTGAGCATTTTTCTGGTTATCTGACAATTTTTCTTTACTCTTTATGTTGAGATAATATTTGGGTCCTTTGCAGATCGTAGATTCTATCATCTCACATGGAAGCTTCTTAAACAGTTGCTTCATAGAGCACAGTGTCATCGGTATTCGGTCCAGAATTAACTCTAACGTGCACTTGAAAGTATGCATCTCATGGAACTTTTGCAAGTGATAATCAAACTAAGGAGTTGAATTCAGTCCTTTGCAAAACATAAGTTTTTTCTGAACGAAGTGATTTTTTGATGAGATGCAAAATGCAGGACACTGTGATGCTTGGAGCAGATTACTATGAAACTGAAGCTGAAGTTGCATCTTTGTTAGCTGAAGGAAGAGTACCAATAGGAATAGGAGAAAATTCAAAAATAAAGTATGAAGGCCACAACCAAAAATATTTTTGAGCCTGCTTTTCTCATTCCTCATTGTTGATATAAATATTATGTGCAGGGACTGCATTATTGACAAGAACGCTAGAATTGGAAAGAACGTGGTCATTGCCAATTCAGAGGTACCGTTACCATAGAGTAAAAAAGGGATTTGTTGCATTCGTAAAACCAATGAGATGTCAATTGACCTCGAAATGAATGAATTATGTATTACCGAAAACATATTGCAGGGCGTACAAGAGGCGGATAGATCTTCAGAAGGCTTCTACATACGTTCTGGCATTACCATCATCTCAAAAAATGCAGTAATTGAAGATGGTTTGGTTATATAATAAACATGTTTATCCCTCGTTGATGAACATGTCGATCCTTCATTGATTTGTATTATTTCTTTCGTTAATGTTTAATAAGAATGCAGAGGAGATGTAACAACAAAATATATCTATGGATGTGATTCTTCTTCAGCACAACGACCATGCCAAGCTGAGGGCATATAACATATCGAGGTAAATGATCCCTCCTCTTTGCTCTGTCTATGATCATTCTTTTCTAAAGCCTGGTGTGAGATTTTATTTATTATTTTTTATTTTTTAAATTTTTAATGAGGGAATGCATGAGTATTCTTATGATCTCGAATAAAATCTCTATTTATGTTAATATATTAAAAATCTATATACATTTTTCTATTCATTTCTTGTCTCGTAAAAAAGCCTGCACTTTTTCCTTGTGCCTCGTGGAGGACTATTGTGCTTTAGTGCCCCTTGAGGTTTAGAAAACATTGGTCTAAGCAACCAGCTGATCATAGAAAAAAGAGTGCTTAGTTTTCAACTTATGCACTACAAACCTCTCTTCTCATGTTATAAGTTTTGTAACCACGAAAATGATTTCCTAAAGCCTACCCATCTTTTTGCCTTGATGAAGATAGTCGATGGCATTCTGGTAAGACAAAGTAGGACGTCAAAGTAGGTAGAATAATGGCTAGCATGATGAAGTTCCAAATTTCTTCCACAGTCGCTTGTCAATGACATTCACAAGCACCAAGATCCATAAGTTTGCTGCCCATCATTTAGCACAACCTCCTTATTAGTGCCATTAGGATTGCTGAGTAGCTCACTTGAGAAGTTTTTTATGCCTTTAGTATGCCATGTAGCTACATACTTCCCTTCTAAGAATCACAGCCCAAGAAAGTGAAGGAAAGCAAACTTGAATTGAAGAATAATAAAACCTATCTCATTCATTTCCATTAAATTTTCAACTAATTTGAATTCATTTCCAAGTTTGGTGGTTGAGATTATGATCATTTTCGTACATAACTTTTTAAAGTTACAATAGTATTAAATATCATTTTCATACTATAGTATTTCAGTTAGTCTATGTACTTTCAAACGTTCAACTTTAGTTAATATACTTTTAATAAATCTTAAATTTAGTTTCTAAAATCTCCTAAAAGAAAAAAAAGAAGAGTGGCCTCACAAAATAATACCCAAGTTATTCCCCTCTATCTAAGCATCCCTCGAATAGTTATGGCATGTTGGAATCCTCCCAACCCACTAGTTCAACTCTTTATCTTGAAAGTACTTTTTACTTTATTGGTAAGATTACCCAACTTATGAATATATATGTTTTAAAACACTTATCATGTTCATTATATAATTAAATGAAGGAATGTTTAAATAAAAAACGTGTTCAATTGAATTACCCAAATCGTATCTTTTCTTCTTTTGTTCCAAAACCTGTTCATCACTGAATTCCACCCTTCAACTCCTTTCCTTAACCTGTGCATCTTTGAGACTTTGAGACTGAGCTAAATCAAAACTACAAGATTGACCCATTTAGGAAAATTGAATCTTTAATCGGTTGAAATAAGCTATGACTAAGGAAGGAGATTATATATAGATGTTGTCTAATTTATTGCAGGAGATGAATTGAACCATAAAAAAAGAAGGGGGGATTTTTAGTGCTTATCTCAACTGGGAGAATAGTCCATACAAAGAATCTTATCTAAAATTTAAATCCCTCAACTTCGAAAACGACATCCAGGAATCTTCAACTCCAGGAAAGAAATAGACTAATTATGGTCTTTCTAAGGGAGCTGGCCAACCACAATATCAGTACAATAACCTCAAGAAGTGATATGAAAAAGAACCCCTTGAAGCGTAAAGGACATGCTCGGGGACGGAGAATTCTTGTCCCCAATGGTACATGTTGCACCCCAAGACATGCTCTTATCCCTCAAAAGTAGGACGGTGTTCATCTTTTCACTTCAATGGTATGCTATCAACCACTAAATTATGTATTTGAAAGAAACCCAAAACAAAAAAATTTAAAAAAAAACTGTCTTACAAGAGACAATTTTCTTGTTTGGGAGACATAATCATAATTTTATGTTCAAATGTTCAAATAACGAGAGATTATATCTTTAGAAGACAAACGAACTGTTAGGTTTTGACATGACTACTACGCCAGAATTTATTGTATCGAGAGATCATGGTATCTTTAGAAGACAAACAAACTTTTAGGTTTTGATATGATTAAGCCATAAACATAAACAATTGAAGTTTCTCGATGATCTTATTGAATAATAAACTTAGCTTTTATAACTTTACAAATAACCATGAATAGAAACTAATCTCAAATCTAGGAAACAATAATCTCAAATTTAGGAAACAAATATGGGAGTAGAAAACCTCAACTAAGAAATAAATCCTAAGAAACAAATAGAAACTAGCCTCCTATCTGGAACCAAACAAATTCGAGAAACAAATCTTAGAAAATATTTAAACTAAATACCTAAAAATACTCTAACTATTCTAACCTAATTAAATTCTTCCAACCCGAACAATTAAGAGAAAGATTATCTTTTTAGACCAACGGAATTAAAACAACCGAAGTTGAGAAAAAAAATTTTAAATAAAAAGATTAAAAAAAATCCAAATCTGTACATTAAAATTCCGGATAGATTCTCTCCTCTTTACCATCCCCTAGATTAACATTTCAAATTCAGAAAAGAGAAAAAAAAAAAAAAAAAAAAAAAAAAAAAAAAAAAAAAAAAAAAAAAAAAAAAAA